CTATTTGTTTCATCTTGGAACGTGTAACAACAGCACCAACAATTTGAAAATTGTTTCCAGGAACATGCACCATTTCTGGTGGTTCCCCATGAAATAACATATTTATGCCATAATCTTCATCAAATATTTCTTCATCATTTTGTATTGGATGACGAGATAAATAATCAGCTAAACAATTATGTTGACCTTTAATATGAATAATTTTTTCAATATTATATTCTTGCAATAAAATAGAAATTCGATCTACTCGTCGATTTTTTACCGATGAATTCATCATTTTGCATAAGGGACAATGATCAGTATAAATTATAATAGATCTTCCAAGTAAATAAGATCGCATTCGTTGAAAACATAACCATATAGCTAATGCTTCTAATTCAATAGGATCATATCGTCGTTGAGTAGGAGATGTAACTTGAGAATGATAATATAAATTTTTAATTTCACCATCAATATTTTGTTGTAATGTACCACCTATACCCACTTTCGATGCATCGGTTGTCAATATAAGTGGATAATTATCATTTGGAAAATTAAGAAATAATGGGGATTTAATTAATAATTCTTTTAATTGTAAAAATGCTTGTTGTTGTGCATCACCCCAAACAAATTGTCTTCGATTTGGTTTGGTCAAATTTGTTACTCGATGGATGGGTGCTGCAACTGTAGCGAATTGAGGAATAAATTTTCGGTACCATGAAATAGAACCCAGGAACTTATTTGCTTCTGCTAATTTAGAAGGTTCCCTCAATTTAATAATTGCTTGAATTTTTTCATTATTAGGTTTAACACCAAATTCAGATATCGTATGAGATAGATAATCAATATGTTGATGAAAAATATTACATTTGACCGGATTAAGTTGAAAATTATGTTTTGATAAAGCAGCTAATACTTGTGCAAGATGATTGAGATGTTCTTCAAATGAACGAGAATACACCACGATATCATCAATATAAACCAATGAAAATTGTCGACATGATGATAATATATCAGTCATTACTCGTTGAAAAGATGGTGGACTATTCTTAAGACCTTGAGCCAGCACATTCCATTCGAAGAGACCGTCTGGAGTAATAAATGCAGTTTTAAATTTGTCTTCTTCTTTAATTGGAAGTTGCCAAAATCCACTCTTCATATCAAGTTTAGAAAAAAAATTATAGCCACCACCTAATAATTGTATTGCTTGTTCCATATTAGGTAATGGATGATTATCTTTAATAGTAATATTATTTAATTTCTTATAATCAACTACCATTCTCCATGTACCATCTTGCTTAGCTACCAGTAATGCTGGTGCTGCATATGGAGAATCAGATGGACGAATTAATCCGAAATGCAATAATTCTTGTACTATTTTATACATTTCTTCTTGTTTACTTGGAGTAGAATAATATGGTTTGGATACTGGTGGAGGATGGTCAAGCGTTTTAATAGCATGAGGTGTTACATTACTAGCAACTGTTAATTTACTTGTGTCAAATAATTTTGCATATTGATTAAGAAGAGTTTTTACTCTATCTTGTTGTTCAGGATTATCAATATGTCGAATTAAATTATTAATGTTCTTATGTATGATTTGATGATCAGTAGTTGAATTCCTTTTAAAAGACAATGTGGGAATAGTTGTTGTTCCCAAAATAATTCCTCTTGGTAAGGAATATGAGTAAGTTGTTGGATTATGAAGTGAAATAAATGATGTATGATGATGAATAGTTAATGCAGAATTTAACATAACGACAGGTGATCGTTGTTGTAATTTAAAAGATGGACGAAATAATACTTGAGCTGATGATAATTCTACCGATACAGGAACGGTTACTGTTTGCTTTGGCGGAACCCGAACATTATTAATTAAACGTGCAGGATATCTTATATCTTTTTTATTCATAGCAAATTTCAATGTTGTTCGTTTATAATCATCACTAATTGAAACTATTTGTTCTTCTGTATTAATAATTAATTTATATTTATTAATGAAATCCATGCCTAAAATACAATCAGCACATAATTCTTTAACAACAAATGCTTTAATAGAAGTTAACATATCACCCATTGTAATAGATAAAGTCATTGTACCAAAAACAGAAAGAGATGTATGACCATCAGCTAAAAGTATACGACTATGTGATTTATTAACAAGGTGCTTACCATAAGATGGATCTAATGCTTTAATTGAAATAAAAGATCGATTTGCACCTGTATCAATCATCACCTTCATTTTTTTATTATTTACAATAACATTAAGATATAGTAGAGATGTATTTGGTGTCGATGGATTGTTATATAAAGTATGGGAAGCAACACCACCGATCATTGCCTCCTTTACCCGAAATGGGTACGGGTACAATCCCGAGCATAGTGTCCAGGAGTACCACATTTATAACAATTATTTGATTGCGATGCATATTGTGGATATCTTGCAGGATCATAATTCCGAATCTGTTGGTTCGAATTTTGTGCATAATGTTGATGATGTTTCCGATATGATTGTGATTGTAAATGTTGAGAAGTATTATGGCGAGTTTTATTAATAGATTTCTGTGAAATATTTGGTCGTGTTGATGGTTTTTGAAATGTAGCAGCATTGATATTAATGTTATTTTGTTGCACTTCATTGTTTGTACTTGTTAATGTTAATGTATCTTCAACTTTTCTAGCAATCGATAAAAATGCATCTGGTGTTTTTGGATCCTGTAATGCAACATGTATTTTTAATGATTCTTTTATACCAGCCATCAAATATTTTAATTTTAATGAATCAGGCATAACAAGATCAACTTTCTTACATAATTCAATAATTTTATCATAATATTGTGTAATAGATTGATTAACCGTTTGTTTGTACCATTTTAGTTGTTCAAAAGCTAATTCTTGTACCTTTGTTGATCCAAAAGCCTTTGTAACAGCTTCAGTAAATAATGACCATGATTTAATCGTCGTAGATGTTTGTGTCCACCATCGATATGCATCATCTTGTAAATGGATTGAAATATATTGTAATTTTTGTTCATTATTCCATTTTGCCATTTGAAAACGTTGTTCTAATTTTTCTAACCAGTCATGAACGTCATCTTTTGAACCACGAAAATATGTTGGTTTTTTAATAATTTCATCGGCAATTGTTCGTTGTAAATGTAATGTAGATGAAGAGCTAGAAATTAAATTTGACGGTATATCCACATCAGTAAGAATATTATTTGGTGCTGGTGGTAATATAAATGAATATTGTTGAAGAAATAATTTACTAAACGATTCAAAATTGGTGATTAAATCAATATGTTCTACGTACCACAAATACGCTTCATCAATCAATAAAAATGGTATAGATTGAAATTGTTCAAGACGACGTAATCCATATTGTTTAAATTGATTCATTGTTTGTAATAGCCAAACCTTGGCATCACCTATACCAGAATATTTAATAAATTTTGTGTCAATAAGATTTTCCATCGATGTTATTTCATTAGTATCAGATAATGGATAATTCATTGGTGAAGAATGAATTTGAACCTTCTGACGATCTTGAATATGTTGTTTTAAACGATCGCAAAAGCATGACCAATCATTATTAATTTCAGATTTTATCTGTTCATACCATAATTTTTGTTCATCATTAAAATATGTAACTGCTTGAAATACACGATGCGATGATGGATATTCCCAATCTTCGTATGTTTTATGTAATACAGATAACCATTGATCAATATGAATCATTTCTTCTTCAGTTAAGTTCTTAATAGATTGTAGAGCCATCTTTTCTTGCTCTCTTAATAATTGTAAATTTAATTTGATATCCAACTGAGGCATATGACCACAAGTTTTTTGTTCTTCAACTAATTCGGAGGTTGGTTGAGATGTTGACATAATTGTTAATGAATTTTGTTGAGATAATAAACGAATTCTTGACTGTTCACAAACAGAATGAGAATCACTACGTATTCTGGGAGGAGAACAATATAATAAATCAGAAATGTGATGTTTTCGTAAATTCAAATGCGAACGAGTGTTACTATTCATCAAGGACACATACCAAAAGAAAAGGCAGTTCCTTTAACTAATTAAGTATTCGTTGACAGAGACAATCCTTAAGAAAGGATGTTTCCAAAATTATTTTAAATAAATGTAAAATCACGGGACCGATTTCTTAATAAGAAAGACACCGCTGTCACCACTTGTTAGGTATTGATTTGCACTTGGAGTTCGATTCAACAATAAGTTGACCTTTCTATATTTATTAAGAAATAAACATAAAATGTCCGTCGTACAATAGTTGTGCACGCACATATATAATATAAAAGAGAAGAAGAGAAGAAAGACCACAAACAAAAGTAACATGAAAGA